GGCCCCTTTTTAGTCCTTCCATTAATTTTTGCTTACGAGGCATGTTAACTTAACTAAAATAGCTGACGTGGGTATGCCAACGTGTAAAAGATGCTTGCATGGATTTAATGATACCCTCCACGTTTCCCTTCACGTCACTCTCCTAGCACGAGAAAAGAGAAAATTACTAATTTACCCCCATCTTCTTCCCCATCCTCTCCTTCCTCTGGGCTTTTTTTTTTTTTCTTTTACCTCCAGGCGAACCCGGCTCCAATCCAGGTCGCTAACCCAGGTGTGACCTGGATTCATTGCTCATGGGTTCGTGAAGAACCCAAGCTTAGGTGGATTCATCTTGGGTTCTTAACGAACCCAGGTGCGCGCTGGGTTCTTCAAAAACCCAAGACTAACCTAGCCCGTGCCTGGGTTCCCGACGAGCCTAGCGCTACCTGGGTGGGTTCGTCCTGGGTTCATGATGAACCTAGGTGGACCTGGGTTCCCGTCTACAATGCACTAGGTGCAAGCTGGGTGGGTTCGTCCTAGGTTTACGACGAACCCAGGCGGGCGCTGCAAGCACTTCTCCAAGGCATTGTAGAAATCTAGAGTTAGCAAACTATTGTCGAAATACTCCTCAACGAGCTCAAAATCATCCCCTACTACCTCAATAATCAAATATTAGCAATCCATTAAAAACAAGAAATCAAGATTATCATGTTCTTTTTCCTTAAAACAAAGTAGAATTTGACTCCTAATCAACTCAAAACACTCTCCAAATTCCACCTCCATATACTTCCAGCTATTCTACAACAAATCAACCAAAACCGAGCACGATTTCGTAACACATTCAAAGAAAACACGATCTAAACTACAGAATGAGTTTCAATCGAAAGAAAGAAGGTAAAGAACTAAAGGAAAACATAAAGAAAGTGGCGATGAGTCCTTGGTTCTGATAAAATAAAAAAGTTGGCAAACAGAAACCGAACAAAGATCCCAGAGTTCAATCAAGAAGAAGAAGACGAAGAATCCAGGGCTCCTTGCGGGTTTTGCAAACCCAGCAACTGGGTTTCGCGAAGAACCCAGATTTGGGTTTCATGAAGAACCCAGATTTGGGTTTCATGAACCCAGGTCTTGGGTTCCTCATGGAACCCCATTGCTAGGTTCGCGGAGGAAGAAGGCTGGGAAAGAGGAAAGGGCAGAGGGATAAGAGAGAAAAAGGGAGGAAGAAGAAGAAGAAGAATATAATAATAATAAATTATGTGGGTTTTTATTTAAATATGAAAAAATGCCACATGAAAAAAGAAAAATGCCATCTCATCAAATTTGTTTTAGCATAATTATAATTTAAATAAAAACCTATAAAGTCACATAATTTATTATTATATTATATAGATAAATGAAACCTATAATTAATAAAAAAAATGAAAAACATAATTTAAAGACCAAAAAAATGTAAACCTATAAAGTTGAGGGACTAAATTTAGCATTTAACCTTTTTTTTTTTTCCTTTTTCACGCGGGGGAGGGTGACCTGGAGGGTGACATGGAGGGTGACATGGAGGGTGTTATAAGTCCACGTAAGCATATTTTACAGGTTGGCATACCCATGTCAACTGTTCCAGTTAAGTTAACGTGCCATGTAAGCAAAAATTAATAGAAGGACCAAAAAAGGGTCGAATTTGTGAATAATAAAGATCCAAAAAGGGATTTTTTTGGTACAGGGATCAAAAAAGAGCTTTTTTCTATAGTAGAGGGACCAAAAAGGGTATTTAACCTTATGCTAAAGGTTGCAAAGCCTGCTAGATTCATGGATCATTGCAAAAGTTCTAGCATCAAAACTCTATTCAATTGTCAAACCAAGGCCATTTCAAGGATGCGTCATAGATCTCATTGGTAAAGTTTATCCTCCTTCAACTAAAGGGCATTCTTTCATTATTATTGCTATAGATTATTTCACTAAATGGGTGGAAGCAAAACCAATGAAGAAGGTAGACCATATCAATATTATTAAATTTCTCAAGGAAGAAATCATTCATAGATTCGATTTGCTAGAAATAGTAACACCAGATCAAGGGACAGTTTTTGTTGGTTCACAAGTTGAGGCGTTTGCAAGGGTAATGGGCTTTCATTTACTCACTTCAACCCCTCATTATGCTCAAACCAACGGCCAAGCTAAGGCTTCCAACAAAATTGTGATAAATTTGCTTGAAAAGATGGTTGATGATAACCCAAGGCGTTGACATGAGCTATTATTTGACACAATTTGGACTTACAGAACTTCAAAAAGAAGTTGTTCTAAGGTAACTCCTTTCTCTTTAACTCATGGACATGATGTTTTGCCTATGGAGTTATCTGCCAGATCATTGCGTATAGTGATTCAACATGGCCTTGCTTTTGGAGAATATAATGATGCAATGATGTTAGAATTAGAGAACCTTGAAGGCATGCGATTGACGGCCTTAGATAGGCTACAAACACAGAAATTAAAAGTGGCCCAAGCATACAACAAGCAGGTGAAATCTAAAAGTCTGGTAGAAGGAGATCTGGTTTGGAAAGCAATTCTGCCACCTGAAAAAAAAAAAAATCTTAGATTTGGAAAATGGTCTCCCAATTGGGAAAGACCATTTCATATCCATGAAGTGCTTAGAGGGGTAGCATATCGGCTTGAGTCACTGAATGAAGAGTTACACCCTCGGAAAGTAAATGAAATCTACCTTAAGCCTTACTATCCTACGATATGGGAGGCTAGAGGTCTAGATACCATGAATTTTACATGAGTCAAATTTTGGGTAGGAATTGTATAGTATTTTCTTTTCTTGTTTAGCATTTTATAATTCAATAGAAGTGCTGAGCTGAATATGTATGCAGGCCAAATCTGGCCATCAGCAACTAGAATGGCCAAATTTTGGTCGTGACAGATTTCAACTTGCAACAAAGTATGAATAGAGCATGCAACAAGCAAATTTCCAAAATATGAGCAAAGATAGAAATCAACATCGAAAAGGCAATTTGCATGGCCATTAGGTCGCAAACATTAAGTTCAAGGATTAGAACATGCAAATACAGTTCAAATAAGAAAAAAAAAATAGACATATAGGGAGGAATTAACAGAAGTTGTTTTACCAATCATTCCATTCTTCCTTGATATTTTTGAATTCTACAGCAACTTCATTTATAGAAGCTGTGAGATAAGGGAGCTGATCCTTGATCTCGAAAACAAATTTCGAGCCCTCCTCCATAACTACACGAAGCTTGTTTCGCTATTATGCCAAGCTTTTCTTTGCTTGCTCTGTAAGGGGAATTTGTCTCTTCAATTCTGCAAGTTTGACCTCGAGGTTAGATATCTCCACCCTAAGACCTTGAAGATGTTTAATTTGTGCTACATTAGCAACCTTCACCACCAAGAACTCTTCCTTCTTTTTAAAGACAACAGCAATACAATTTGCTATAGATTTTCTGGCAGATTCTGTTACCGCCACCTTGTTCTCAAGTGCCATGAATTTTTTACTGAAATCTACATAAATAATAGTGAAATCTACCTAAAATTTACGCTAAGCAAAAGATAATTGTGGAGCTCAGCTAAGAAGTTAAGCTACTTCAAAAGCGACTAGTTGGTTTGGCACTTTGTATAAATGAGAAAGGTCACCATCAATAAGTTCTTGTAGGATCAAAATGGCAAAGTTGATTTGCTCCTAGGAAGGAAGATCAGCATTTGGGTTTGGGTCTGTCTTTTGGCGACAGACTTCCTTTCGCTATCTGAAGCAATTTTGACTTGATAGGGGGGTCCGCCAACATGTCCACCTTAGCAAGAAGCTGATCCTCCAAATCATCGTCAATCACAATAATATCTATAACAAAACTCTATAAAATTTGGAGACAAAAGTTCAAAGAGATCAGTTGGCAGATACAATAACAGAACTCAAAATCTTCCCAAATTTTAAAATAGTGAAACAACTTCAATGTCATCAACATCAATTTGCTTAACCGGAGAGCCCACAAGTGTAAGGACATTCTTTTTCTTTGGGCTTAGATCGATAAGTTCATTTGGTCTAACCGTTTTAAAGTTTTTATCAACTATGTGCAAAGAGAATCTAGAACCGTTAACCTCTATGGCTGGTGAAGAACCATTGCCAGATTTTGAATAAGAGGTGCCAAATTCGTCTTCACTACTTTCAGCAAATTTTTCTTCAATATGATTTGCTGTGGCAATGGTTTTGACAGAAACATCTTCTGCTTGAGTAGGCTGCTGTTGGATTTTTGTGGCAAAAGTGGATTCTAATGGAGATGTAGATTTGATGATTCTTAGTTGTAGAGGGCTTTATTATTGGCCTCTTGATACCTAAAAAAAAAAAGGAGAGGGGAAAGTTAGCAAAAAACAGATTAGACAAAGTTTCAAGCTAAGGAAGCCAAAGCAAATTTACCTCTAGTTCTCTGCTACTTTGAAGAGGTGTACTCCTCTACATAATCTACAAAAGTGGTAGCTTTTCTTTTGGCTTGAATTATTGGAGCTTTTCTCAGCAAATCTGGTTTCTTAGTCTAGGTAATCACGACAGATTCTAGGTCACCTCCTTCCTTTATAACATCTTTTTCCTCAAATTTTTTAGTGAGTGTCGAATGAGCTAGAGTAGAAATGTCATCCAAAACCCCAAGAAACCAAGGAAGAAAGTATCCTTGCCACCAAGTTTTATATGAAGAAGTGCAACTCAGTTGGAAAGGAGGATATGGCAAAATCATGGGCTGTAAAATTTGGGTAATTTCAGCAAGTTTTATGGTTAAAATGTCTTATTCTCTTATCACAAAGCAAAGGGGGTAACTGTGGTTAAAAGAAAACAGAGGTGAAAATGGAATGTCTTAGCAACATCCAAGCTATCGATAGAACTGGTTCAGTGTGTAAAGCTCAACTCTACATTTGGAATTAAGGGTATTCAAATTGTAGCCAACAAATAGATCCTAAGAAGTCACACAAACAAACCATAATGCTCTGAAATCTGAAGATTAAATATCAGCCTTGTACCAAGGAGGGCCATGAGATCTGTTTAGAAACACAGTAAAATTTGCATCAAGTCTATCAATGTGAAGAGAAGCAAAAAATCCAAAGCATTCCTCAAAACTCTTCTTATTCTCTATGGCATCTTTAAACATTAAGTCGTAAGTAAGAAGATCTTGACTTGGTACAACAAACAGAACAGGAGCAAGTGCTAAGAAATAAGAAGAATAGAATTGCAAAAATAATTACTGCTTAAAGGGTAAGCCGTGACATCTTGACAAATTCTATACAAGTAGGCAAGTAGAAAAGGACCTAAAGCATTGACTAATGGGATAAACTTTTTAGTAGGGCCTTTACCAAGAGAACAAACCATGTATTTGTAGATTAATGTAAGCAAAAATGAAAGATTCTCTTGAGTGTTGGTAGGCTTACTTTGGTCACAAGCAAATCTCACGAAAGCTAGAAAGGAAGGCTTCAGATCTTTGTTATTGTATTCTATACCCAGTGGCCTAGTCAAGAGTGCAAAAATTTCTTCCCCTGTGCAGGGTAGTCCAATCAAAGAACTAATGTCGAAGAGACTCATGGACATGGCACCACATGGGAAGTGGAAGCAATTAAAGGAACTAGACCAAAAGAGCAAAGTAAAACTTAAGATCAACCTATCCATGACAAATCTACACTTTGTTAGTTGAATGAACTCATACAAGCCCACATTCTTCCAAATTTAGCCGAAATCTAGTTATAGGTGATCTACCCATTCAACCCATTCAGATTTTCTCTAAGTTGGCCCAAATCCAAACTGGCTAATCCACTTGCTCCAATTGGGCTTTACCTGGAAAGGAAGAGGATGGTCTTTTGGTTGTGGGTATATATAAGTTTAAAAGGAATAGGTGGAGGGGAAACAAAATATGGACCTAAAATCTAGGATTTTATGTGAGGGACAAACACTTGATCTGAATGACAAGTTTTATGGCGTTAGAGGATTTGGTTGATTTCATTTTGGAGATTTTTAGCTTGGAAGAGGCCAACCAGATCTGCAAAGGGAGGTTTCTTGGGTTGAATAGCTTTGGTTTTAGCCATGAGAGAAGGAAATTCAGTGGAAGGAAGTTGATCTTTCTTATTGCCGTCCATGGGAGTAGATTTCGGTGGGACAAGAAAAGATGAAGAAATCAGTGATGTCCCGAGGAAGAAGAAAGAGATTAAATGGTGAGTTTGACTTTTGAATTTTAAAAGGTCCTTATTTTTTGGGATTTTTTGAGAGTTTAAAAGTAAAAAAAAAAAAAAAGGGGGGGGGGATTTTAAGAGAAAAGTAATGGAGACAATCTTGCAAATTGATTTGGGAGTTATTTTAAGAGGATTTTTTAGGTAAAAGAAGTCTGACACATGGCATAGGGAATTAAAGTGGTGAATGCAATTTATTTAATTAAAACACTTGGATTTATTTCCATAAAACCAAGTGTTAGGGGGCATTGTTTACACCATAAATTGCAAAAATTAAAGATCATGCCACGTGTAAAAATTTTTAATGGATGGAGGAGATTTTGCCTTGTCAGATATATAATTCTAGGCCCATGACAAATTAACTGCCACATTAGAAGGAAGGAGTTAAAAATATAAGATTTTATTTTTTAATTACCTTTTTGAGTTAAATTGGTTTTGTTTTAGCTAAAATATAGGAGGAAGTTTCAAACATGGATGTGGGTTATCAGATAATGGGATAGGTGGCGAAATTTGGAAGGGAATATGACCCTGTCAACTGCTAAGGTGTCCCACTTCTTCAAGAAAACTACCCATAATTTGTGTAATTGCAAAATGTGGGGAGTTGTAGTCAGAAAAGGGAAACAAAAAGAAAATTTTGGATCACAGAACACTCGACCAGCCCTTACACACAATCTACAAAATTTCATATTTTCAATTTCTCTCCAATTACTCACTTGTGCTTACATATTTCAAATTTCAACACAATTCTAGTAGATTTAGGTTGTTTTTAATCATTCCAGTAGTTGAATTAGTTTATGTATTCACTTCAGGAATTTGGTTTCATGTAATGAGCTACAAGCTTTTGAATTTGTTGAAGATACTGTTCATTTTTTTATTGTAATTAGTTTAATATTTATAATAAGTAGCGTTTCATCAAATGATTACTTATATGGCATTCATGCTTCTTCTCAATTTCAAGCATATTAGTTTAATCACTGCTCATATTTAATTTTAGTGTTGTTTAGGTTAAACCTCAAAATTTGCAGTAGTTTAATTTCCAGATCTATTTGTAGATATAAATTTAATCTAACAATAAACATGTTTAATTTAATTTGACTACTTCTTTTTCTTCCAAGTTTACTTTAATTTGCATGTTATTTAGCTCATTTAGGATCTGTCAACTTTGATTCATGGTTGTGTTTAAGTCCTTCGAGTTTTCCAAGGCAGATTTAGTAACTCATTTTGCGGGATGGCATTCCTCTCTTTTGTAAATCATCTATAGGCACAGATTTTAATTTTAAACCAATGTTCTTCCCGCCATCCATAAGGAGGTTGATTGTAAGGAAGGAGAGGGTCGTTCGGAAAATCCTTATTTCTCTTTTTAAGCAAAGTAAGTGGCACACCCGTATCTAAATTCTACATGTGCGAGGCCACTAGAGGATTTTTGAGGAAACAATGGCAAAGAAATTGGTATTTAAATTTTTATTTTAATAGTTGTTTACATCTCAATTAGCAATCTTTTAAGATGGTGCCACATCTTCATACCGAGGTTGGGCGATCATAAATTTTTCAAAATTAATAGAAAAATATTGGCTATGATCTAGTATGTTGGAGTTTATTTTTGATGTTGTCATGAGTTGAAACAAATTATTTTTACTGAGTTGTAGCCTTTGACATTTTTGTTAATTAAACTTGAGAAACCCAACTTTATTTATTTAAAAATGGGCTTGAAATTGAATTATTTGAATGGAACAAGATAGTTAGGTGGCGCCAAGAAAAGTACGGTCCAAATACTTTTTGGGAATTTTGTAAATAAATCAAGGACACATGGATTAGAGGTAATATTTTATTTGGATTAATTTCATCTTATTTCTTTGGAGCGGTTGAGTTGTAGAGTTGGTAACCAAATGCAAGTGAGATTTGATCAGGTCAATTGAGGAAAGTAAGGCTGAAATCAAGGAGGTTCCAATTGGTAAGATCTTGGTAGTTTCGGTTAGTTGATTTCTGTTTTTGGTTAACTGACAGTTCGCATAATGAGATAAATTTGGGGCTATTGGGATCTGTTTTTGCCGTAGTCGATGGTGATGATCAAGGTCAGATTTTTTATTAGATTTTTTGTGAATGGGTTGGTTATCGAAGCCTTTAAATATAAGTTTTCAATAATTTTTTTGGTTTTAAGAAGTTTGCCCTTCACATGTAAGTGAAGTTATTTTTAAAGCTCTTTATTTGTTCTTCACAAGCATCTCTTAGTTTAGTCCAATCTAGCAACTCTTATACTAAAGCAATTTTCAACCAATTCTCTTTAAATTCTTAGCCCAGCAAAAGTGGATCAATATTCCTTAGCGAACTCTTATTCGCAGTGAGTTTAGTTTTTTATAAGATTAGTCTCCAATACATTTATTTTATTTTGTTGTTTGCTTTTAATTGATTTCCTAATCGTTAAATATTTAATTTAAATTTAAGTATGTATGTAATTTTAGTTAAATTCAAAGTCTTTTACATTTCTACAGCAAGTTATGTTTTAGTAGAGTTTTAGTTTGTTGCATTTTTTAAATTTCTATCAAACTTATATTTTCTGCTTGTAGTATGTGTTTCTGTCTAATTATATTTTCTATATTTTTTTAATTAATTTAAGTACTTGTTTTTAATTTATTCACCTTTTGACACTTTAATTTAATTTTTCTTGATATTTGTTTATTATAACTAAAGTCCTTAATTTACTTTTAAAGCAAGTTTGAACTCATTGTATGAGAATTCCTCTTTCATTTTTACCAACCGTACGATTCAAGGATATTATATTTTAAACTACGTTCTTCCTGTAGCCTTCTTATGAGGAAAAATCGTGTGGAAAAAGAGAGTTATCAATGAATCTTTTTCTCGTTTTTCTTGTAAAAGTAGATGATACACCTCGCATTCCAATTTCAACTGCGAGGTGTGTGGCTAACAAGATTTTAGGGGTAACAATAATACAAAATTTTAAAATAATAAATGTATATGATTATTTTTTAATGTTTAGTTTAAATTAAATAGAATATTTAATTAATTAATACTTTTTTAAAAATTTGAAGATTTTCCATAATATATCATTGAAAGTATTTTTCCAAAAAAATTTTCAAAATCTTTCAAACGTCATAAAATTTATAAAAGATATTTTTTTGAAAAATATTTTTCAAAATTATGTTCATTTCAGTGAACAAACGGAAAGGCGACACTCGGCAAACAATCCAACATAGATTTCTCAACTCTGGGCGACTGCCTTTTTCTTGAAAAAAAATTAGTGCCATCACATACTGTAGCATCGCTACTGCCACGACCCTCCTGCCTAGTCCACCCTCAACCTACCACCAGCCATCACCGTCCGCTACCAATAATCTAAAAGGGCTCCACATTGATAATTGGTTTTTTCTTACTCCACCACATATGGTTCTCTAGCTGTTACCCCAAAATTCTGTTAGCCACATCTCATAATAGAGGCTGGAATGAAAGGTGAATCACCTATTTTTGCAAAAAAACCAGGAAAAGGATTCACCAACGGCCATCTTCTTTCACTCAATTTTTCCCTATGAAAAAGGCTATTAGAAGAATATCATTTAAAAGATGTAATGTGCCCAAATTAGACAATTGATAAAAATGAAGGATTAGTTTCTACACAATGAGCTTAAAGTTATCTTGAAAGCACATGAAAAACTTTGGTTATAGTAAATAAGTGTCAAAAAAAATTAAACTAAAGTGCCAAAAAGTGAATAAACTAAAGGCAAGTGCTGCAATTAATTAAAAGAAAATGCAGAAAATATAGCTAGAGAGACACAAACTGTAGGCAAAAAATGTAAGCTTGACAGAAATTTAGAAAATGTAGCGAACTAAAACTCAACCAAAGCATAAATTGAAACAGAAATGCAAAAGACTTTGAATTTAATTGAAATAATAAATATTCTTGAATTTAAATTTAATGTTTAACAACTGGGAAATCAAGTACAAGCAAACAACAAAATAAGATAATTGTCTTGGAGACCAATCTTACCAAAAACTAAATCAACTGTGAATAAAAATCCATTAGGGAATGTTTATCTACTTCTATTGGGCTAAGAACTCAAAGAAAATTTACTAAAAGTAGCTTTAATCTAAGAGCTTTCTAGGTTAGGCTAAACTAAGAGATTCTTGTGTAGAACAAAGAGCTTTGAAAAGTAAATTAACTTGTGTGTGAAAGGCAAGCTTGTTAACTATAAATTGTGCTAAAAAGTTGTATTTATATGCCTCCAAAACCAAAGCTATTTGCTAGAAATTTGATTTGATCATGATTTTCTCTAGCTTTTGTACTATCAAGCTTGACCAAATCAAATGGAATCTTGATAGCTTTGAACCCTTTATTGCAAATTAGATTTTTGCCACATGTCATTTTAATTGCCAAAAGCAAAACTTTGTGTTGGCTCAAATACTCCAGGTGGGGGGTGAATTGGAGTCTTCAAATTTTTCTTCCTTTTGCAACCACTAGATAAAAAACAAGGAAAGTAGAGAAGAAGAGTTTGCACAATTAATTTTATAGAGGTTTGACCCAACCACTTCATACCTAATCCTCTACTTTGGCTTCACTTACCAAGGATTTTCTCCACAATCTCCACTAATGCTCAAAAGTAGTTTAAAGGAGCTACCCAATCCTTTTACAATATGTTTTTCACTCAAACACTCCTTTTACAAAGAATCCCAATGAACCTCACTTGGTTTCTCTCTTGAAGGCTTCACTCACCCTCAAGTATCTCTTCTTGGAGCTTCACTCACTCCCAAGATCATAAGGAAAGGGTAGAAAGAAAGATTATAAAGGATATGATCTCTCAAACATCTAATTTGCAAGTGTAAGCTCAAAGCTTGAAAGGATTTGCATATCTAAGCTCAACTCTTGTTTCTGATCTTCTAATATGTGTCTTAAGACTCTCTAAGATGTTTACCAATCATAGTTATAGAACCAAGGTTAAAACTAGCCATTTATAGCCATGGAGTCCATTTAATGCATTGTAGATTAGTTGAGGTGTGAGAAAAGATGCTGGAAAATTTGACCATTAAGTTGGCTATACCTTTAAGGCCAGCTTTTCATAGCTGGCTATCAATTTTAGAGCCAGCTATCTAGGATAAGTTGAACATTCTGTTTTTCTTTAAAGTTGGCTGCAAATCCCAAAGCTAGCTTAAGAACTTTAATTTTGAAATATTAAAAGAACTTTGAAAATTTTTACCATTGGGCATTAAATGTTCCATCACAGTCGATTGCAACGTCAAAGCCAACTACAGCATATGTTTCCCACGACACCAAGTTGTAGCTTTGAATTTTAGAATAGTAGAGCAGATTGCAAAACATCTAAGTTGGCCCTTTAGTCAATTGTTAACATATTGCTCTTTTGCTCTTTCATCTAGCTTTGAGAACCCATATTTTTCTCATTCGAACTTCGTTTTGGACATTCTTATACTTATTGGAAAGCTTGAGATATCTACTTTCACATGAACTTATTTTCGAGGCAAAACTTCAACTATAATTCAATTTATTCTTAAATGAACAAATGGAGGTCAGTTTTGCATCAAATAGAGGCTTTTCAATTTTCTAATTTTCTACACACCAACACAAAACTCATTAGACTTTTTTACAATGTTTTTGTTATCATCAAAATCATCATAGGTACTCAACAATTTCCCCATTTTTGATGATGACAAAACCATAATCAATAAAGCATATAAAATTAATGAGTTTAAAATCAAACTCCCCTTACCAATATACATATCATCATAAATTATGCAATTCTTATACAATGTGCAATTCATACAACTCTCTCTCCCTCTTTTGTCAACATCAAAAAGGAGTTGAAATACATAAATAACCAACTATAGCACAAGCAAGTGAAATTCATAGTCAAATCAACTTGTACTCCCCTTAAACATGGGCATACCAAAAGCAAGCTTGGAGAGTTCAAGCAAATTCATGCTTATACTTTAAAAAGAAATTGCATGAATTGACTTGATAAGTACATCAAAAACATATCATGTCAAATTAACTCAAGCTACCATGTAGAATCATTCCAAAGATATCATTCAAGTAAGCTAGCATGTAAGCCCATTCCAAGGAAATGTATTGCAAATAAGTAAAATTAAGTATGCTTCCAAGTAAGCGAAGATATCCCATTCCAAGTAAGCAAGCAAAAGTCACATTTCAAGTTAACATGCAAATATATTCCAAGCAAGTATGAAGATAAATAGATTCTTTCTCCCCTTTTTGTTATGCAACAAAAAAAAAAAAAAATTTGAAAGCCACATAAAGATTAAACAAAAGAGCTCCCCCTTAATGAAAGAAATCATGGAAGCATGAACATATTTATATAACAATACCATCAAAATCATACCAAGAATGTATAATCATTTATGATTTAAGTTATGAAAATCAATAAAGATAAATAAAATAGCACAAATGTGATATGCACTCAAGATAAAGTGATACATATATCCATCATGCTCATAAAGAGTTTGAGTGTCACGCCCCAGAACCCAAATCCGGGGACGTGGCAAACGCCGTGCACTGGTGAAACGGGTCCCACAAATGCACAAGGTTCGGAACTTATCATACCACAATTTGATACCATAAAATTTGAAGATAAAATTTTAAAATTTGCCTTGATATCATAAAATCTCCAAATAAAGTCTAGCTTACAAGATCATGATTTATATCTAAAATCTATGTTTAATTTACAAGATGGCTAGCCTTCTAACTCGTCACTCCCCTCGTTTTTCCCCGTCCTTGACTTCGCTTCCTAAAATGGTGGATAAGGAAAAACTATGAGATAACTCAGTAAGTAAATATGGATAGCCCTTGGATAAAATTTTAGCATGCTTGATAAATAGTTTAACATAACAAAACGTTCAATGACAAACCGTTAATACAGAAGAAAATTCAGTAGCAGTCTCATCTATAAGTCATGGCCAGTGTTTAACAAACTCCCATTGGTAGGCGTCAGTAATAACCAGTGTTTAACAAACTCCCACTGGTAGGCGTCAGTAATTACCAATGTATCATTCCATTAGCAGGATTACAGAATGAACTGGTCATATCAGTAAACATGTCAACATATGCCAGCATTTGCAAACTCCCACTGGTGGGCGTCAGTAATCATAACTATATCAGAGACAAAACCATGCAAGATTTACAGAAAAATCTGTAATTCACAATCAATCTCAAATTTCAGAAATAAACTGAAAAATTTCCATGTGAACATGGATTTAATAGAAAAATTCAGAATTTACAAAATTCTCAATTCATCAAGGTAGTTCAATCAATTCCAAATAGGCATGCTCCACTCAATGCAAATGAAAACAATTTCATTTCTGTAAGGGCAAGTCCGAGGTGCTCAACCTCGGACGTACGACAGTAATTCTTTTACAACCGAAGTAAGGAATAAATCCAGAGCTTCTCACTCGAACAGCAGCATAGCAGTTACGATGGACATCCTCACATCAAATCCCGAATATCTTGCTTGGCTCAATCTCCGGGCCCCAAAATAACTGCTTGGAGATACGTATCAAATCCCGAAATAACTGCTTGGAGATACACATCAGATCTCGAATATTTTGCTTGGCATGCCACGTGGTTTCTTCATGGGAACATATAAATACCCCTCAAGGGCCACGCCAAAAGGTAATTGAAACCAACCCTAAACTCCTTGTTTCTCCGTTCTATAGATAGCCCCGATTATTGCTGACTTAAGCATCGGAGTGTCTACCCCAAGGATTCACCTCGGGGCTTTGCAGGTCAATCCAGAGTGCAGATACGGACTGAAGAAGGACTTCTAGTTTGGTGCAGTTACATTTTGGTGCCGTCTGTGGGAATCTGAACTAAAGGCTCCCTTGTTGCTCTTATCATGGTTAAAACTTGGTCAGCCCGAGGTGGAAACTCGTCTCAGCCTCTTGGACGAGGTTAGGTCCCCAGCAACCTTCCGCCTCATCCCCCACCCCCAATCCCAAATACGTTCCCTCCTGTTGATCATGTAGAAGGAGAAGATGAAAATTAGCCACACAATTCGGCTAGCAACTCAGCTGCTACTACTAACCAAGACGTAGTTGTAACTCAGCTCGCTGCCATGCAACAGCAGTTTGGTGTTTTTCAGCTAGTGCTGGCTCAGCTATTAGCCCGGAATAATCCTGGTGATCCACTCATCAACCTACTTAATCCTGCTCCACAACCTCCAGCCCCACCACAAAATCCTGAACCAGTTCAACATGCTCCCGTTGTTAGTGAATCTCAGGGCCAATCTCACATTGCACCAGCTCAGCAACCCCCTCATAATGATGTCACTCGACGTCTAGATAGCCTAGAAAAGCTAGTGGTTGAACAGCGAGGTGTTCCACCTCCCCACCCTGCTACTGACTCCATACCCCACCCTCTCAACACCAATATTATCTTGGAACCCTATCCCGCTGGCTTTAGAATACCACAGCTTGAAACTTATGATGGGACGAAGGACCCCGATGATCATCTACATGCTTTCTACTCCTGCATGCAGGCCCAGAATGCCTCTGATGCGTTGATGTGCAAAATCTTTCCCTCTACCCTCCGAGGTAATGCTTGAACCTAGTACTACAGTCTGCCTCCGAGGTCAATCAACTCTTACACAGAAATGGCATCTGCTTTTGCCACAAAGTTTTCCAGTAGAAGGTTGATCAGGAAAACCACTTCTGAGCTGATGCAAGTTAAGTAGAGAGACGGAGAGTCTTTGAAGAATTTTATGAGTAGATTCAATGATGTAGTGCTGGAGGTTAACTCTTTCGACCAAGCTGTGGGAATTACAGCCGTGATCTCAGGTCTTAGCCATGAGAGATTCAGAGATAGTCTGCTCAAACATCCTGCCAACACCTTCAACGAGGTAAATGATAGATCGTTGAAATTCATAACTGCTGAGGAATATGCCATGTCGCAGAACCTAACTCCTATTAAGAGCCAACACCCAGACTGGAGAGATAAGAATCCGAACAGGAAACGGATGAAGACAACACAGAACCGAGGTCCAATGTCGACTTCCACCCTGAGATTTGGAAAGCCGAACTCCGCACCTCCGCAACAACCTGCAGGTAAACCTCCAGTTAATTGGACTCCTTTTAATTTATCGAGGTCACAAATCTTTATGCAGATTAAGAATAAGATGGACTTAAGGCGTCCGGATCCAATGAGAACTGCTGCTGTTACCAGAGACCATACCAGGTATTGTGATTTTCATTAAGATCACGGTCATACAACAGAACAATGCAATAGTCTGAGGTCCGAGTTGGAAAGTCTGGCGTAGAAAGGAATGTTGAATGAGTACATCCAGAGAGTTGAACAGCCACGGTTTGTCAGGGAACAAGGGACACAGCATCAAGGAGTCTGCAATCTCCCAAACAGGCAAGGTGTGGGATATCAGCAGGCCCCACCCCCACTCCCACCACCAGCTAGAGTCATACACATGATTACAGGGGGTCTGGAAGCAAGTGGATTGAGCTCTAAGCAGCGAAAGTTGTATGTCAGAGAGGTTAAGCACCAGAACCGAGGTCAGAAGCGAAAATTTGACGATGCTGAGTGGAAGAATCAACCCATCACTTTCACATCTGCTGATCTCGAAACAGTTGTCACACCTCACAATGATCCTCTAGTCACTTCTGTCACGATCAACAATTGTGAGGTGCAGCGTGTCCTTGTTGACACCGGGAGTGCACCAGACATCATGTACTTCCATTGTTTTGAGAGCCTTGGGTTAGATCCATCTCTGTTGCAGCGGTATGATGGTCCCATCTACGGGTTCAACAACCAACCAGTTCCAGTTGAAGGCGTCCTCACCATGAATGTTGCATTTGGAAGTGGTAGAAGTTATGTGACCCCTTCAGTCAGGTTTCTGGTAGTCAAGATGGCGTCCTCATTCAATGTCGTCATTGGTCGACCCACACTGACTGAAATCCGAGCTATGGTTTCCCAATCTCATCTATGTATGAAATTCCCAACTCCTACGGGAATAGCAACGCTGCGAGGCAACCAGGAGGTGGCCGGGCATTGCTATATCACCTTGGTAACGCAACCTCAGAAGGGCAAGGCTCAGCCACCCGAAATTAATCCTAAACGGATTCCTAATGATTGGCAAGTTATGGGTGTTGAGATAGTAGATAACCGACCAGAAGATGAAACCAGAGCTACTCCAGTCGAAGATGTGGAGGAGGTACAGATTGATGACAGAGATCCAAGCCGGAAAATGCAAATTGGGACTAAATTGAACCCGGAGGAAAGAGCAGAGCTAATAGCTTTTCTTCGGGCCAATAAAGATGTTTTTGCATGGACTTCAGCAGATATGCCGGGAATTCCCACTTCAGTTTTTCAACATAAACTCAGCAACAATCCCCTCAAGAAACTAGTAGCCCAGAAGCGACGCCTCTTCGGGGGGGAGAGGTTAAAGGTTATTAAAGAAGAGGTCGAGAAACTCCTACAAGTCGGCTTTATCAGAAGGGTAGATTATTGTGAGTGGGTCGCCAATCCGGTGTTGGTGAAAAAAGCAAACGGTAAATGGCGGATGTGCATTGATTACACTAACCTCAACGATGCATGTCCAAAGGACTGTTATCCAATGCCAAACATTGATAAGTTGGTTGAGGCAGCTTCGGGAAATGAGAGATTAAGTCTCTTGGATGCATACTAAGGCTACCACCAGGTCCCAATGGCTCCTGAGGATGAAGAAAAAACCTCGTTCTATGCTGGTGATGAGATCTATTGCTATGTAATGATGCCCTTCGGCTTGAAGAACGCAGGTGCCACTTACCAGAAGATGGTTACCATCGTATTTCGAGCTCAGATAGGACGGAATTTGGAAGTTTATGTTGATGATATAGTGGTAAAGAGTTTGAAAGCTGACGATCACTTAACCGACCTTGAGGAGACATTCAACAATCTCAGACAGAATAGAATGAGGTTAAACCCAGCCAAATGCATCTTTGGTGTGGAGTTTGGAAAATTCCTGGGTTTCATGGTTTCCAGGAGAGGGATTGAGGTCAACCCAGAGAAGATCAAAGCAATTGTTGAGATGGAACCGCCGAAGTCAGTGAAGGATATACAGAGGTTGACCGGAAGGATAGCAGCTCTTCATCGGTTCATATCGAAGTCAGCAGATAAGTGCCTACCATTTTTCAAGATTATGAGGTCAACTGCCCAGAAAGATGAATCGGGTAAACAGAAGAAGTTTGAGTGGACTCAAGAATGCCAAGCCACATTCGACGAGCTGAAGTCTTATCTTAGCTCACCACCTCTACTGACTAAAGCCAAAGATGGAGAAATCCTCTATTTATATCTGGGAATTTCAGATGAAGCCATTAGTCCGGTTCTGGTAAGAGAAGAAGCCAAGCAGCAGAAACCAATATATTATATCAGCAGTGTGCTGCATGGAGCCGAACTGAGGTATCCTATAGCTGAGAAAGCATCCTTAGCAGTTGTCACTTCGGCCAGAAAGTTGAGGCCATATTTCCAGTCGTACCCGATCATTATTCTTACAGACCAACCCCTTCGGCAGATTCTGCAAAAGCTTGAGTGTTCTAGAAGATTAATTAAGTGGGCAGTAGAACTGGAGGAATTTGAGATAACATTTCAGCAGAGATATGCAATCCGAGCTCAGGCACTAGCAGATTTTATTGTAGAGTGCACTCCAGGTAATTCCATTCCTACTCTAGAGCCCAATGACTGGACCTTATATGTTGATGGGGCATCTAGTAGCAAAGGTTCAGGAGCTGATGCTCTCTTGATTGGCCCAGATGGATACCGAAGTGAACATGCCCTGAAGTTCAACTTCGATGCAACAAATAACATGGCTGAGTATGAAGCCCTGCTACTTGGTTTGCAACTAGCATTGGAATTAAAACTCAGTGCGATCCAAGTATACAGTGACTCCCAGCTGGTGGTGAACCAAATTAACTCAATCTGCGAAGTTGTTGATCCTGTGATGATAAAATATGTAGCTCTGGTGGCCGAGCTGAAGTGCAAATTCCAGAAATTCTGTCTGAGCAAAATCCCCCGAACTGAGAATGAACAGGCAGATTCACTCTCTAAATTCGCCTCTGATAGTTCTTCACAGTCCAGATCAGTTTTCGTGGAGGTCTTAGATGAACCAAGCTTCATGAAGCCACGGGTGATGGAGATCAGCACCGACCCAGGCACACCGAGCTGGACTGACCCAATCCTCTCATTCTTACGAGACGGAATAGTACCTGAGAATAGGTAGGAGGCAATGAAGTTGAGGAGGAAAGCATCTCGGTATACACTTGTTGATGGGGTCATCTATAAGCGATCTTTCTCTCTACCTCTTCTACGGTGCTTAAGTCTCTACGAAGCGAAGTATGCACTTCGCGAAGTACATGAAGGTGTCTGTGGAAGTCACGTAGGTGCTAGAACTCTGGCTCACAAAGTCTTAAGGCAGGGATATTACTGGCCGAACATGTACAAAGATGCCACTTACTTTGTTTAGAAATGCTTGAAATGCCAGTTCTTTGCACACCTAACTCACCAGCCTACAGAAGAGCTCACTACGCTGGTAGCACCATGGCCATTTGCTCAGTGGGGATTGGATCTTTTGGGCCCATTCGTGAAAGGGGTTGGTGGTGTAACCCACCTGATTGTTGGTGTAGATTATTTCACAAAATGGGTTGAAGCTCGGCCATTATCCAGTCTTACTTCCAAGAAGGTCGAAGACTTTGTTTTCAACTCAATCATCTGCAGATATGGGATCCCGAATCAGATTGTGGCTGATAATGGAACTCAATTTAACTGCACCTCTTTTCGAGATTTCTGTTCCAGCTACGGGATTAAACTACAGTTAACCTCGGTTTACCATCCAGAGTCCAATGGCATGGTCGAATCTGTTAACAAGTGCATCTTAGAAGGTATAAAGCCGAGGTTGGAACAACACAAGGCCAAATGGGCAGATGAGCTCAACAACATCCTCTGGGCATACAGAACCACGAGCCGAACTGCCACAGGTATCGTTTCAAACCAAGTCTATTTGATTACTTTTTACATTACTTTACTTCTTCTGCTACGGCTTTACCTTAGAGCAAATATACATAACGCATAAAGCGCATTCTAAAGTTATAATTAATTGAAATAGGAGAAACACCCTATCATTTGGCCTTTGGTATCGAAGCAGTCATTCCTGTCGAGATAGGAGTTCTAAGCTTTAAGGTCACTCATTTCGATGAAGGACGAAATGGACAACTACTTCGGGAGAACCTTGATCTGCTTGAAGACGTTAGAGAAGAAGCACGACTTCGAACTCTAGTCTACAAGCAAAAAATAGCAAACTTCTACAACAAACGAGTTCGACCCCGAACATTCAAAGTAGGAGACCTTGTTCTCAGGAAAGTAGGTCTGACAAGGTTCGAAACTCGATTCGAAAAATTAGCACCAAACTAGGAAGGCCCCTACACTGTCGCCGAGGTGCCGCACCCAAGTGCTTATATCCTACGGGACACTGAAGGCAAAAGGGTTCCCAGAGTCTGGAATATCAATAATTTGAAGAAATGTTACCCCTAATGCATCTCTTTCCAGTAAACGTTGTCTCATTTTTATATTCGTTGTTATTCTATATGTGTTCAAATTCAATTCATTTATCTCAATAATGAGTGTCACTTCACATTTGAAGTGATTCAGTTTTTTCTACCCTTCTATGAGTTGGAAGTAGATTTCAATTATTTTCGAAGTTAGCTCATTATGACTTATTCTTTAGGATAACGATTTGGTTAATCAGTTACCTTTTATTTTTGAAGTGCTTTACTTCATTTGTCTACTTGAGGTCCGCCTCATCCAAAGTCAATTCCCTTGACTGTTCATTTTATGATGACCGAAGTCAGATCCTTGCGATGGATGAAGTCAACTCGTTTTACCCGAAGTGATTTGCTCAAAAAATAGCAAACAAATATTAAAATGTGCAACTCACAAATAACTTAAAAAATTTTCATAAATTTGTAGTACCACCCCTTCTCCCCCCTACCCCCAGCCTTAATAATAAAAAAAATGTTTAAACATGTTTACGGTCGGGACCCTCACCCCCCGAACTCTGCAGTATACAAGAAAGCCTATTATTACCCTTATGG